GCTTTGGACCGAAGAAGTGTTACGGGTGAATAGCTTCTTAGTTTTGGTTCTATATGCTGAAAGTAAATTAGGTTATGATGATCATATGTGGGGTTTAACGTCCCAAAACCACTATATGATTATGAGAGACGCCGTAGTGGAGGGCTCCGAAAATTTAGACCACCTGGGGTTCTTTAACGTGCACCCAAATCTGAGCACACGGGCCTACAATATTTCCGCCTCCATCGGAAATGCAGCCGCTGCAGCCGGGATTCGAACCCGCGCCCTGCGGGTCAGCAGCCGAGTACCTTAGCCACTAAGTAGTAAGTAAATTAGGTTACCCGCACAGCTTTACAACCTTAGTAGCTGAACATTCAGCCATTGAGTGCGAGGCTCCCTTTTTAGGGGCGAAGCTCCTTTTGGCGTGGCTTGTGCATACCTCGTAGTACGTAACCACCAGTGGCACATTATCGAAATAGCGGCCCTTACGATTTTGACCTCCAAGGTGGTTCCGGTGAGAGATTCCTTCTGTGCGATGTTGAACAATAAAAGATAGTGCTCAATGCACATGTTAATGGCTGCTAAGGGGGAATGAGAGACAGAAGCATTCGGCCTTTGGGAAACGCGCACGCTGCGATCCCCATTAGCAGCTATTGGCATGTACATTGAGCACGATCTGACAAGAAAGGGTTGCTACGTAATACTCGCTGGGTGTAATTTCCTTGGTTTTAGAAAGGTTTAGCGAGAGTTGGGAACTATGAATACAGTGAACTAGTATATACCATGAAATCGAGGTGGTTAAAGGTGGGAAGTAAACCCGAAGCGTAAGCTGTAAGAAAGTGTGCATGTGCCACCTCCTGTTTAGTCCTTGAAATGTCCCCTGGATGGCGGTGCTTCTATATGGAGAATATATGATGAAAAGATGCGAGATGGTGGTACTTGGAGTGCTGAATAGATGGACGAACGGACACACAGACAGATGCATGGATGGACGCATAAACGGACGCAGGCGCGGATGCATGGACGAACGCAGGGACGGACGCACGAACAGACGCACGCACGGACGGGTGGATGGACGCATGGATGGTTACACAGACGTACGCAGGAACGGACGGAAGCAAGAACGAATGGACGGATGAATGCTTCGCCCCACTCCCCATCATTTACTCCGTGGATATGCTGCCATTTTTTTTTCATGGAATGGTGCGTGCGCCTGTCACTGCACTAATTTTTACACTTGCAGGTGTGAGCTGCGCTCATTAATGGAATTAGTAAAAGAAGTATCTTATTCTGCAATGTCAGACAGGAATAAATGGGTCAATTTGCACAGGATTAGCCGAAGTGAAAACGAATCAATGCAACACATCTGCATATGAAGTAGGTGAGGTAAAATCATGTTTCTATGATCAGGTGTCATAGGAACAAGTAACTGTAGCGATTATTTGAAGTGCTACGCATGATGCTCAACATGTAAACCTTACGCAATATTAGCACATCTCGAATGAGTGATGTGCCATGACTGACGAATGAAATATCCTTCAGTGACATTTATTTGAGAGGGTGCATTGTCCTTGGCGAACATAATGGCGGCTAGTATACTTTTCTGCGTAGTACACTGTTTCAAATAAAAACGAATAACATCAGTAGAGTGACTTGTTGGGTCAGTTAGTTCGTTCTTACGGTATACACTTGTTCTTATCTCGTCTTGGCATTCGCGCTAAGTCTACCGTAAGTAATGACGAATAAATTGTGCGCACATAATGTACAATAAATGAGAGCATCGTGTACGTGGCTTTTTTTCTTTTCATGTTGATGAAATAAGTTGTTCAGCTTGAAATCGCAACGTGGCGGCCATGAAAGGCGCCACATCAGAGTTATCTGAATTAAATTTGACAACCTGAAATTGTTTACCTATACCTAAAACAGGCTGTACGAGCGTTTCTTCTGCATCGTAATAATGTGGCTGTCCCGACTAACAAGAATTCGAACCCGCAGCTTCTGCCTCACAGTGGCATGTTGTATATATCTAGCTATATAGGCCACCCTCGAAGTGCCGTGCCGTTAATGCTTTCGTGCTTTCAATTAGCTATTGAAAACAGCTCGTAGCGAATAAATTATTTAGCTGAAACCATTACAAAAACTTGGTCAAAGTTTTTTTTGCGCAATGCTTTCTAAGTACTCGGATATATGACTAAGAGTCATCGCTTTACGCTATGCCGGCTGGCGCTGTTACTTAATTATCTTAGATTCCTCCGAGAAGTTACGTTAACTATACACATACGACCACACATGAACTAGTGAAGTACATTGGAGAGGAATGAAGAACCATTAGCTGCCGACATTCTCGCGCCAAACGCTATAACGGCAGAGACCCTAATTAAGGCTCTCAGTTTTGGTGGATGGATTTTACCGACGTATAGAGTGCAGCCGAAGTGGTCAGCCTCGCACTGCCACAGCACTTGTTTCGGCGCTCTTCACCCGCCGTCATGTCGACTCCCCTTTAGGATGTAGTATTCGTTCTTTGCCCCCGCGATCTACAAATGACCAGAGGTTATAAATGGAAGACCCTCAACAGACTTCATGTTCTTAGTCATTTCGCTTAGCGTGCCACTTAATTGTTCGCGAGTTCTCGGAGTGCTTGAACAGATGGCTACCATAACAGTATATCCTTAAGTTTCGCTTTTAAGAGTTGAACGCAATATCGTTATCCTGTCCCTAATACGTGCTTCAACCATTTAGTGCGAACTTTTATTGATTGATTTTACTTGTGAAGTTTAAATTTTGGATAACTACAGTATAATCGATAAAGTTGAAAGTGGCTTATGTCAGTGAAGCTTTCACATATGGCTGCATTCTGTGTGATGGGTGACATGCTTTAAACCACCAGTAAAACACAATGCCGTCAGACCGATAAGAAGGGTTGCCAGTAGGCAACAAGGACTTGAGGAGCGCAACCTCGTAATGCCACTGCATACCTTACGAATCACGAATTGAAGTTTTCCGGGACTGCGAGAAATGGACAACGTAAGCTAATGCCGAATTATGCAGTGCACAAAAGAAACACATAGATAATTGCCTTCTGCAACCGTACATATTGATTGGTTGAACTAATCTGCAAATGCTGTTCTGATTTTGCGCACAAGCAGCGTCTAAACGATAACTACTTTCAGCCCGTCCCGGATGTCTTTATTGCTTGAAAACATATTCACATTGGCGGATTCTTGGTTTTACATGCGAATACAAAACCAATTAGGACCGTATTCGATTCGACGTTTACAATTTTTGGTATCTTTGCTAACTCCTAATGTGATAATATGCATATTCGCCTCGTTACGCTCTTTCGTTTTTAAATTTAGCATGTGCGGTCCTCCAGGATGCAAGTGTGACGTCATTGTTTAACGCGACAGCGTTAGAGAGCTCGTTTCGCAGAAATTCCGACGTCGGCGTTGCTGTCAGCGTGAGCATCGTTGGCTGTGAGTGAAAATAGTCGTCTTGTCTGTGAACGAAGGTGCAAATCAAATAATTAATAAAAATCCAGAGTCCGACTGAGGATCCAACTCAAGGTGGTAGAAGCAGGCGTTCTACAACACAGCCCCGCATCTGCTTGGAAATATAGCGAAAATAACCTCCCCTGCTTGGAAATGCAGTTAAATGTTCTTGCTTCCCCCCCCCCCCCCCACACACACACGCACATTTATACAAAAATTGCGTCGTACAAAGTTACATTGCCATTGGGCGTCAGAACATGTGGTTATCATAACGACTTCGTCCTTTAAAGCCGGCCACCCATTACAAAAGGCACACTCGTCAATGCACGTATTCATTAAAACCACGTAGCGGGTGCGCAGCAAGTTCAAAAACATTTGACACGCTAATTGGTCGGGGTTTGAATCATATGTGCAAAGCTTCACTGGCATAAGCCACTGTAAAACTTCATCTGTTACATTGCATTAATCAACAATTTAAGCTTCTCGAGTAACATCATAAAATAAAAACTATGCAGTACGTAGTTGAAGTACGCATACGGAACAAGATATCACTGTCGCGTTCAACGTTTAAACGCAAAGCTTAAGGGCACTCCAATTATTTTAGTGCAACTGTTTATATGAGCGATTGCTAGAGATAAACGCGTAATAATTGTTGAAGTTGTACGTTCAGAAACCACAATACCATCATAAGGGACGTTCTTTGGAGGTGGGGCGGGGGGACTCCGGAAGTTTTTACTGCTTGAGCTTCATAAGGGTGTACCTAAAACTAAGCGCACGGGCTTCTAGCAATTTCACCCCATCTGAAAATGCAGAAACCATGGCACCAGGACTCGATTGCGTGACCTTCGGGCCAGCAGTTAAGCAACATGAGCACTAGATCACCATGGGGTTTGAGATAGGCGTGGCACGTCGCTGCAAATATGGCCACTAAATATAATGTTGGCTCTGCTGCAAGTGTTCCATGTGAGAAATTACAACAGACATGACCTGAACTGAAGACAGTAGAGATGAAAACGACTGCATGCTTAACCCTAAATATTTGTGTTTCAATGCACGAGTACTCCCGGCCGCGGCAGGTCGCATTTCGACGGAGGCGAAGTGGTTGAACCCGTGTACTATGCGACGTCGGTGGACGTTAAAGAACACCGGATGGTGCGAATTGTCGGAGCCCTCCAAAACAGCGTCTCTCATAATCACATCTTGGTTTTGGGTCGTTAAACATCAGACATTATTGCTATTGCGTGGGAACTGCACAGTTTCTTCATGCCGCCTGGTTAAACATCCTGCTTCTTGTAGTGGGTTGCACGGTTTTATATTGCGTGCACCCTGGCGAAGCCATCCGCGCGCCGTCCTCGCGCAAGCAGAAGAAGAAGAAGAACCGACGAACCGACGGGAAGGACGCACGATTCCTGGCTCATCGAGAACACGTATTGTTCAGGTGCCTGCTCTGCCTACCCTGTCCTGCCTACCAGTTCTGCTACAACACTGGGGATGCCCCATCGAGGGAGAGGTGGCAAGTCAAAACATGGCTCAATGTTGAGCTTGTCAAGTGCCAAGCATGACAGCCACTTGCACAAGACCAAGCACAGTGAACCGATTCACGACAGCACAGGCGTCAAGGTGAGTCAGAGAGGGAGAGGAGAAAGAAAGGAATCCATTGAACGAACAAAACAGAATTTTGCCGGCGTATGTAAGGCGCCTATATGCCACTCTATATAGGAGAAGGGGATCGAGGATAAAACGGCCCTAAGAAGAGCTGGGCAGGAAAGGAGAAGGAAAAAGAAATAAAATAGTATAACCACGATATCTGCTTCTATCCACGCGATGCTGATGATGGTAAGTTACGGTAGCGGTTCATCTAATCGGTTAATGTCACCTTTCCAGGTCATGTCAAATAAATAGGGCAAGGTGTAAGAAGGTTCGTGATAGCAGAGACAATTATTGAGTTATACTACACTCTGAACGCGGATTTCCAACGAAGCCACTTATATAGCCCAGGACACTCGGGTGACATTGAACTTGAAGCGAAGTTTTATTTATAATATCGTGGGCTGGCATCGCACAGCGCATAGACCTCTGGTATTTCGCCTCCATCGAAATTCTACGGCGGTGGCCGAAATTGATCCCGTGTTAGCAGCGGGGCAGTCCATTTGTCGTTTTTTTTCAAATAAGAAAGAATAAAAATTCTAATTCTTTAATGCGAAGCGTTCCTTAGCGAACTTAGGCGACTTTGACCGTATGTGCAGTGTCTATCTAGCCGCCTTCGACTTTTAGCACTCCTGGCCGTTCCATTATAGGATACATACCAAGACTGGTATGGCATAACATGACTGTATGATGAGAAGAGATGACTAGTCATAACATGAAAATCATGACATGTATGTCAAGAATGCCATGATTTAAATGTCATGACCTTCCTGCTCTTGCGGTGGTTTCGTTCACATGACATATTGCAAAACTGGTATGGTATGACATGACTGCTTGGTGGACATATGTGACAGGCCCTAACGTAAAAATCATGACATTTGTGTCATGTAACAACATGACTACAGGCCACGCTTATTATGCGCTCGCAGCCATTTCGCCTAGATTCCCAATTGGGTGTATGTGTGATATACCAAATTGGTTATTACGTGACGCGAACGGATGATGGAGGTGTATGACTAGTGCAAACATGATAATCATAACATGCGTGTTATGTAAGAACTTGACTAGCATACCACGCTCATATCGCGCTCGCGGCCGTTTCGCTAGCTTCACATATACCAAATTTGGTATTACGTGACATGAGTGGACGACAAATACAAATGTCAGGCGGAAACATGATAATCATGACATAGAACTCATGTACGGCATAATTTACATGCCTACCGCTGCTGCTGCTGGTATTGCAAACGCTAGTGGTGCCGTCGTTACGCGACTATAATTAACATACTTGCATACGATTTAGATACGTAAGTTCTTATAACATTTCTACCTGTGTTTACTGTGTATTACGTCCGCCTGCCTCGTAACGTTGTGCTGGAGCGGGAAAGGGACATCTCAACCTTCCTCATTCGTGCTTGGCATATCATCGATTCCCACTGTACGTGGGATCTGCCAGTATTTTGATGGAACTGAAAATGCACAAACGTTTACATCACCCATTATGCAGCGAAAAATTCAACAGTCAAGCACTTTAAAGTTCACCTCTAACAGTAGATCTGTAGAATGCGTTCTCGACAAGAGTATATACGTATGCGCGGGTATACCTTTACAAAACTCTTCTAAGAGTTAGAGAAAGGGGTATTTTAAGGTATCGTTTTTTAAAGCACAACATTGATGAGAACTGGTAGACAAGAAAGCCTAGGAAATCGTACAGGTTGTTTTGTCTAGTAATCACGCAAAATTTATATGACAGTTCGTCGCTAACGTCAAGTTAGAACACGTACTCTTATATGGCTCAACGGATTCGAAGATGTAGATTTTTGTGTGTAGAAATCTTTTTAAAAAAGACCTGTCTAATAAAATGTTTTTAACGTGGGTCATAGGCTATTTTAAATTAGTATAGTACTTCAACTCATAATCTCAAGTGCAGAAAACTTAACGAAGTTTGCCTTTTTCAATAAAATATAAGGGGTCATGAAGACTGTCGTTCAAAGAACGTTTTATGCCACTTTTCTTATGTTAATAGATTTGCCAGCAGAATCATATTGTTTCTTAACCCATCGCTTTCTCATGTGCAGGAGATGGGGAATGTGGGCAGGCAACTTCACGCCATCAATACATCGCTGCATTTAGTGAAGCGGAAAACTGTCACTGACACCGATATCTCCAGCAAGCAAAGTATAAAAAGCGTGAGTACGCCCTCCTTTTAGTTGAATATCGCCGCATCTGTTGTGCCAAAGTGTGCTGTAAGTGTAGTGATGTACAGCCGCGGCCACGTCTGTGTAGAGCGCGCGAGCAGCTGGGTATAGGTGCGAAGCAGCTCTTTGACTAGCCTGTGTAACGCTGTGTTTCCGTCTGCACCACGAGTCCCTCCCCTGGCCACAGGTGTTGGGGCGGTGCCAAGTAGGTCACGCCTTCCCTCCCGGTGCGCGCGCGTTGACGTCACTCTCTCCCTAGCCTTTCACTACTCGCCGCGTGTCATCTCTCTCGCTTACCCTCTCGATTGCTCGCAACGTTCGAGCGCACATCGAGTGGAAACACTCTTTCGGCTCGTTTATCTGCCATGAAACTACACGAAGCCTAACCCACCTCCCTTGTCTTTGCGTTTCAAAGAAACGTTTACTAGAGTAAAGACTACACCAAGTTTTGCTTTAAACCGTTCTTCCAGCACCCGCGTCTACGTCCGTTTCTGCCGAGTCAATGGCGTGCGCACCACTGCTGCTTCGCATCCCATTATGATTCCCTTCAGGAAGATGGTCCATACTTTTTTCGCTGCTCTGGGGGGTGACACCTTGAGGCAGTTTCGGGCTCCGACGTAGTGTGTCAGAAGCGCGCATGGCCCATAGCAGTCAGGCTGACCACGTCAGAACACGAAACTCCCTCAAGGTGTCGCCCTGCGGAGCAAAGACCGACTACCCGCGGTCTCTATGCAGTAGTGGCCGAGGCTGTACACGTGTCCGATGTACAAGTCATATATGGTGAGGGCAAACACGTTAGCTCTTTTAATAAAATACAAGCTAGAGTAAGCACTCACTGATAAATTCGCAGATAAAAAAATTGGCCGGGTCTACATGTTACACTGTAAATGTCGTCGAAAGACGATAGTCTTGCGTCTGGAGAGAGTGAACAAAACGTTTATTTGATGTTCTGCGCAAGAAAATCGGTGAATGGTATTTTGCAGGCGCTGCGTTAAAGTGCCTCGACCGTGTGGCGGAGGCGAACGAGCGCATCTAGGCGGTAGGTGTTCTGTGTCTAGGCACGTTAGACACAAGTGCCATCTGGCAGTAATCTTCGAAAACGAAGGCGCGCAGCCCGCGGAGAAAGATGCGCGCCAGTCTCGGAGGTGATAAGGTGTAGAACGCAAAGCGACGGGCAGGTGCCACCACCGTGACGTCGTAGCAAAGCGTTGGAAACACCTTTTTGAGCATCGCGTTGCACTGTCAGCGCAGCGCGATTAAACGCTACATTCCTTAGAGTTACTTGTGTGTGCCTCTTCTAGTATAAAGACAGACATAAAAAAACATCGAATCGTTGTTGTGGCGCCCAGATATGCGCAATAATTGCTTTTTAATTGACAATCGCACAACTATGAAGGCTAAACCTTGAGCAATATCATCAGTGGTGGGCACTGCGGATGGGGTTGGCCGTTAGGTGCCGTTTGAGGTATCGTTAGAGCGGACAAACAGACAAATGTACAGACAGACAAAATGTTTCCGTCGAAGGTCCCCAAGAAAGACTATCGTCTTTAAAAAACAGGTTCACGTGCCTTTCTTGTGCATGGCCGAGCGTGTCAGTGTGGACAAAACTTCTATAGTTGAAACATTCACTTTCTTCCGCATTTGTCTTCAGAGTTGTTAATTGGTCTATATATAAGAGGTTAGCGTTAGTGAGTAATTTACTTGTTTTGGCTGGTGTTGATGTTAATACGCTTGCTACAACAACAACAACAACAACAACAACAACAACAACAACAACAACAACTGCTACTACTACTACTACTACTACTACTACTACTACTGCCACTACTACTACTACCACTACCACTACTACTACTACTACCACCACCACCACTACTACTACCACTACCACTACTACTACTACTACCACCACCACTACTACTACTACTACCACTACTACATTCCGTAGAAGGAAAAGTAGCAGGAGGAAAAGCAGTAGTCACAGCAGTAGTAGAGGCAGTAGTTGTTCACTTCTAGTAGTAACAGGAGCAATAATAGCAGTACTACTACTGGTTGTAGCGGTGGTAGCGAGAGTGGTAGTAGTGGTGGTAATTGTAGTAGTAGTAGTATAGTAGTAGTAGTAGTAGTAGTAGTAGTAGTAGTAGTAGTAGTAGTAGTAGTAGTAGTAGTAAGCTTAAGCTTTCTCGTACTTTTCGTATGACATGCACGGTAAACCAAATGATGCCTCGATAACTTACGCATAACGTTTTTTTTTTGTCTAGCTTCCGCATCACGACGAGAGTGGCCTTTCAAGGACCCATCAAGAGCAGCACCACCCGCAAATGCAGGAAATGACGCAAGGGGGAATGCTGCATCTTCTTTTTGCATGTGCCGTACTCATACTTGCCACGTTGCTCGGTGTCATTGCTTACATGCTGCTCTTCTCGAAGCTCACGACATCGACCGAATCCTGCGAAACTAAACCCTGCTCAGATCTCGCCGCAAGGCTTCTGGACTCGATGGATACAAGCTTGGATCCGTGCAACGACTTTTACTCGTTCGTATGCGCGCATGCCCACGTGAGATCCGTTCGCGACGATATGAACGCAATTGCGACCCAGGGCCAGTTCGCGGAACTCTCCAGGGACCTCTGGCGTGTTCATAAACCGAGTCGTCTGTACCATAGATGTCTAGAACCTGAACCAAGTGAGAGAGCTGCCAATATTCTCGCACTAAAGGCCATACTAAGAAACTTATCTCTTCACTGGCCCGAAGATCAGCAACATCCAAGCGACAGGCACCCGATGGACGTGATGCTTGAGATGGCTATCAAGTGGGACATAAACTTCTTGTTCAGTTTAGAAGTCGCCGACAGCCAAGCAACTGGCAAGGTTTTGGTATTCCGTAAACCTCGCATTGTCGCCGCCTGGGTGGATCGGCTTGAGTATACCGCAGGTTCAATCGAATACGCGCGGCATGTACAGACCCACCTGACGGTCTTGAACGCGTCGAGCAGCGTGAAGTACTCTACGCTGATGAAGTTGGAAAGATCATTCACCCAGGTCCTATTAGGCGCGTCTAACCAGCAGTCATGGATCACACTGAGCAAGTTCGACAGCATAGCAGCCTCGCTAGGAAAGAACGCTTTGCTAAAGTACATCCGCACTAATTACGAGAATGAGCTTGAACACTCGTGGTCTTCCGAGGACTGGGCTGTACTGGAAGACTCCAACCTTCCGACAAGTATTGGCAGTCTCTTCGAGAAGCACACTCACGAGCACCTACTGATCGGCATTGCGTGGCTATTCATTCAGTCTCACTTGTGGGCACTCATCGGCAAACCGGCACTCATGTTCAGAGAAGACATCGAGGAAAAAAAGAAGCGCGCTTGCCTGGAGTACGTCGACTCGCGATTGGGCCTTCTGTCCTCCGCCGAATATGAGACGCAACTATTTCCGTCCCATGACACTCGGCACGATGTCTCGAATTTCTTGCTGAGCGTCACCAATGAGTTCAAATCGCTGGCCAAGAACGCCAGCTGGATGGACCGTGAGAGCCGGGAGACGGTGCAGCTCAAGATTGACAGCGTCACTCTGAACGTCATGCCTGCCGAGGAGTTTTTCCAGTCGCAGCAGCGGGAATCGATGTACGAGATATTTCCACCCATGAACGGGTCAGTGTTCTTCGACGACTGGCTGCGGGCTTCGCGCGTCTTCCAGAGCTTACAGGGCCACGATCACTTCCGTGACGTCTACAGCAAGAGGCGGACATCGCTTGGACCAGAGCCGTTCTCGTACAATTACTTACTAAACCTGGTCGATGCCGCTATGGTGGCGCTCGAACCACCGATATATTACGTCGGAGCGCCGTTCGCCATCAATTACGCTGGTTTGGGGTCGCTGTTTGCTCGAGAGGTGGCCAGAAGCTTCGACTCGCGAGGTACGACCGTGGACAACCGTGGAGAGAACGTGCACTGGTGGGGCAGTGCGCAGTCGATAGACTACAACCATCGCGTCTCGTGCGATCTGGGCCAAAACGCGACGATCGCCTTCATGCCCGCCATACCGGCGCTGGAGGCCTCCTACTCGGCTTACCAGACTGCCATCTACCACGCGGCGGCGCGGATTGGTGCCAGGAAAGATATAAAGATTCGTCGCCTGGAGTCGTACAGCGAGGATCAGATATTCTTCATGACTTACTGTTACTCGCTCTGCGATAGGAAACGCGCCGCGACAAGGCGGGAAGAGTGCAACGTTCCACTCAGCCACTTCTCCGAATTCGCGAAGGCGTTTCGCTGTATCCGTGGTGCGCCCATGAACGCTTTGAAAAAGTGCAAGTTCTTTTGAAATCCCCATATTTGCCGGCAATGTACCCACAGTACGCGGGATACCGGCATACACGCGCACGAAAGATGGCGTGTACTCCTAGTTTTCGGTTATAATAATGTACGCATTTTCGCGTTTTGCGAAAAATTTACATAAGCCTTAACTACATTTCCTCGTGTTTTTGCTAGTGTGCATCACTTAGGCGTGTATCCTAGTTTCTAGTCTATGGTGCATTCAGAAACGCCAGAGTATGGGCGAGGTTCGCGCATTTGTTTTCTTTGGCACAGAGGCCATATGTATGTATGTATGTATGTATGTATGTATGTATGTATGTATGTATGTATGTATGTATGTATGTATGTATGTATGTATGTATGTATGTATGTATGTATGTATGTATGTATGTATGTATGTATGTATGTATGTATGTATGTATGTATGTATGTATGTATGTATGTAAACTGACCAGGCTGCATGTGCTTTCATTTTAAAAATTGCATTCCATCGAGCAAATCGTCTGTGAGAAATCAACATATTAAAACAACATAAGGTTGGAGCCATATGAGGCAGTATTTTAAATATTTGACATTTACCAGCATAACCTATGAGCTGCTATGCATTCGCTTCGCTCCTTAGAGCAGTAGGCTACAACGAGAGATTGCTATCAAACCGGCACAATCATTGCATTCTTGTTTCTATATTGGCGGCTCTAAATACGCTATAAAGGTTTGCTGCATTTTGACGAGGACATCTTCACAAGAATAATGTACCGAAGCATAGTGGCGCCAGCTCTGTGCCAGCGTGAAAGAAGACGTTGACGTCCGTGTGTGGCTCGTGCTTGTCGGGTTCCTGCCTGTACCAGCTTGTTGCGGCTAACGTTTCTGGAATGATAACTTGTGTTTTTACGCAACCATGCTCGTTGCATTTGGTGGAAACGTGCTGGGTAACGTCCTGGAGCTCCGCAGCCGTAAGCTATCATCTCAGTCCGTGATGACCGAGCACGTCGATCCCCCACAAGGCTCTTCCACGCTGCCACCTGTCATGTGTTCTGCGTGACCCACCAGTATACAACGGCACTGAAGATCAAGATATCGAGGACTGGCTGGCAGAGTACGAGCATGCCAGCGCGATTAACAAGTGGGATGACCCTGCGAAGCTGACTCACGTCATCTTCTACTTGACGGATTTGGTCAACCTATGGTTCACCAACCACCAAGCCGACATCCCCACCTGGTCGGTTTTCAAAGAGGCCGTCACCTCGTTTTCCGGTCGTCCAGCCATGCGTAAGCTTCGTGCTGAACTGGGACTGCGGGGACGATTTCAGCGAAATGGTGAGAGCTTCACGAGCTACATTGAAGATGTGATCAGCCTCTGTAGGCGAGTTGATGCCAGGATGACGGAGGCTGACAGAATTAAGAATATAATGAAAGGCATTGATGACGACGCTTTTCATATGTTTGTGGCCAAAGACCCACAGACCCACAGGCCGTGATTCAGTTATGTCAAAGTTTCAATGAGCTGCGCAAGCAACGAGTTTCTACACGTCGCGCTAATACGCAAACAGCTGATATTTCGGCCTTGGAGTGCAAAAGCAGTGGCCCCGACTACAGCGTGTTAATGCCTCAAATTCAACAGTACTTCCGGGAGGTTTGCTCGACAGCTCTCTCTTGTCGCCACCATCAACGAGACTCCCACAACACTGGACCACTCACTTCGCCGTGCTATTCAGACGCAAGTTGCCGAGGCTCTCCCTTCGCCCGCATCCCCAATATCAGTGGCTGCACCGCTGACCTATGCAGAAGCCGTCCGCCGACCTCCTGCCCAACCACCGCTCCCTTCATACAGTCCAGCCACCAACTACTACAGGTCACCAGTTTCAGTTTATCTGGCAAATCGGCCCTTTCCACCACCTCGAGCACCTGTAAACTCTCGGCGTACTCCCGATAACCGGCCCGTCTGCTACAACTGTGGTATTCCAGGACATGCCGCGCGCTACTGTCGTCGCCGTGGATTCTATTTTAATGATGTGCAGCATTCCGGCAACATACTTCGGCAATCAGAATCGCATGGGACACCTGATTCACATGACCCCCGCTCACGTCGACCAGACTTCAGCCGACGTCGATCTCCTTCACCCCGTCTTCGGTCTCCTTCCCCCATGCTTCGCCGTTCCAACCACGCCCAGGAGGAAAACTAACAGTCGCAGTTCCTGAGGCAAGAGCTGCGCCACCGACGAAATTTCCAAGGCCTCATCTTTCGCCCCCTAACGAGATTGCCGTGTTTGTGGACGGTTTCGCCACAACTGCTCTAGTCAACACAGGTGCCGCTATTTGTATAATCAGTGAAGTGTTATGCCGCAAACTGAACATAGTGACGACTCCACTGGTTGAAATTTTTTGACGCACAGCGAGTTCGCAACACGTCCAACCTTCTGCCACATGCACTGCTCGTGTTGTGATTCAAGGAGTGCTTTACATCGTTGAATTTGTCGTCCTTCCGCATGCGTCTCATGAAATCATCCTGGGATGGAACTTTCTTTCCGCTAATCATGCGGTGGTTGACTGCGCTCGTGCTCAACTCCTTTTGTTTCTATTCAGCACGACATTCATAGATCTCCCTCGCTCACCCAAAAAGGTGATCGTCGCCGCTGACGTCATCATTTATGCTTTTTCGGTCGCCGCGGTATCTATTTTGTGCAACTCCGTTTCCAATTCAACTGCCCTATTTATGCCGTCACAAGAATGCGCTCGTCGCCGGAACCTTGTCGTCCCGTTTGCCGTCATAACACTTGCCGATGGCTCCAGTGCCGTGTACGTGTTCAATACGTTCCCTTGTCCCGCTACCTTATTGCATGGTGAATGCATTGGGAGTCTTGACACTTATGATGACATCTTTCCTTTCGGTGCCCGTTCTGATACGACACCGATGTCCGTGGATGCTGCCACAGCTGGCACCGCGCCCTCACTACCTGACGAAGACGTTCTGTTGCGCAGCGTAGACACCGGCCTTACTCAAGACCAGCACAATCAGCTCATTCAACTACTTGACCGTTTCCGCGCCTCCTTCGACCACGGACAACCTCCCTTGGGACGCACGTCAGTTGTCGCTCACCATATCGACACCGGTCATCATACTCCACTTCCTCAGCGCCCCTACCGCGTCTCGCAGGCTGAGCGTGACGTCATCACTCAACACGTCGACGAGATGCTGCAACGTGGTGTTATTCAGCACTCACACAGTCCTTGGGCTTTGCCAGTGGTCCTCGTGCGAAAAAAGGATGGCTCCATCAGGTTTTGCGTGGATTATCGTCGACTAAACAACATCACACGCAAGGATGTTTATCCCCTGCCACGCATTGATGACGCCTTGGATTGCCTTCAAGGTGCGGAGTTTTTCGCTTCACTAGATCTGCGCTCTGGATATTGGCAAGTGCCAATGGCTGAACCAGACCGTCCAAAAATGGCGTTTGTGACCCCTGACGGCTTATATGAATTTAATGTAATGCCCTTCGGCCTTTGCAATGCGCCTGCGACTTTTGAAAGAATGATGGACAGTGTCCTCAGGGGACTTAAATGGCACATCTGTCTTTGCTATTTAGACGACATAGTTGTATTCTCGGCGAATTTCGAAACTCATCTTTCCCGCCTGGAACAAGTTCTCCAGTGCCTTACGGCAGCCGGGTTGCAACTAAACTTCAAGAAATGTCGTTTTGGCGCCCGCAAACTCACAATTCTCGGCCACGTCGTTTCAAAAGAAGGAATATCGCCAGACCCTGCCAAACTGCGTGCCGTTGCCGAGTACCCCAAGCCTACTACCCCAAAGCAGCTTCGTAGTTTCGTAGGCTTGTGTTCCTATTTTCGGCGTTTCATTCGCAATTTTGCCTCTATAATTGCCCCTCTGACTCAGCTTCTCTCCCGTAGCGCGGACCTCTCTGGCTGGAATTCCCACTGCGATGAGGCATTCACGGCGCTACGCCGGCTTCTCACGTCTCCGCCAGTTCTCCGCCACTTCGATCCCAATACACCCACTGAAATTCACACGGATGCAAGCGGTGTCGGCCTCGGTGCCATTCTCGCTCAACGCAAGGGTGGCTGCGACGAGTACGTTGTCGCCTATGCCAGCCGTACACTAACGAAGGCAGAGTCCAACTATTCCGTCACGAAAAAGGAGTGCTTGGCTATCATTTGGGCTATAGGAAAATTTCGCACCTACCTTTACGGACGCCAGTTTGATGTTGTCACAGATCACCATGCCTATGCTGGTTAGCGTCCATGAAAGATCCTACTGGCCGCTTCGCTCGTTGGGCTTTACGCCTTCAGGAATACGATATCCGTGTTGTTTATCGCTCAGGACGCAGACATTCAGACGCCGATGCACTATCCCGTTCTCCACTGCCTCCTGACCTTGCCTGCTTATCAACTGCCATTTGCGATTCGTCATCGTTGAGCATCACTGACATGCCATCCGAACAGCGCAAGGATCCCTGGATCAATTCTTTGCTCGACGTCCTCTCTCACAGTTCGTCAGAAACGACTTCACTCTCCCTCTCTCGTCAAGCAAGACACTTTGCTGTCCGTGAAGGCTTGTTGTATCGCCGCAATTACGTGACGGATGGCCGTAGGCGGCTCCTTGTCATCCCTCGTCATTTGCGTTCGGACATCTGCGCTGCCTTTCACGATGACCCCCAGTGTGGCCACGCTGGAGTATTTAAGACTTACTCTCGCCTTCGTCTAAGATACTACTGGCGCGGCATGTATCGGCACGTTTGCCGGTACGTTCGGTCATGCACCACGTGTCAACGGCGCAAGACGCCTTCTCACAGCACTGCTGGCCCTTTTTAACCCTTAACCTGCCCAACGAGACCATTCGACCGCGTCGGAATTGATATTTATGGTCCTCTACCCAACTCTCTTCGAGGCAACCGGTGGATTATCGTCGCCGTGTATCATTTGACACGCTACGCTGAAACATCTGCGCTGCCTGCTACCACTGCGAAAGACGTTGCGTCCTTTCTTCTTCAC